CTACAGCAGGTAACCCTGCCGACCCTGCTGCCAGCGTCCCCATCTTACAGATGAGGAAACTGAGGCCAGGAAGAGAAAGTGACTTGCCGAAGGTCCAAACCCCAGGGCTAAAACTCAAATGGGCCAGACCCAACCTTGGGCCCAAAGCCAAAGCCAAAGCCAGCCCACAAAGACATGATTGGTTTGGACAGTAGAGGGAGTAAAACAAAACAAAACAAACAAACAAAATGCCAGCTTTCAGGAAGAAAGGTGGATTTCACCTTCTCCTGGAGACAGGTTCCACGTGGCCACCACCAAGGGGAGACAGTGGCCCTCCAAGCAGGGGCGTGGCTTTAGTCCCCACCCCCCAACCCAGTCCCGCGGGGTCGCTTACCAGTCCTTCACCACGATGGCCGGCTGAGTAGTGTCCAGCAGCTCCTCCCAGTAGCCCTCCGCCTGCAGGTCGATGACCTGCGCTTTCCGGCACCACCTGGGGGAAGTGGGTTAGGAAGGAGCCGAGGCCCCTTTCCCCTCCCCCGCCATCCCCGGCTCCTTACTCGAAGGAGGTAGCAAAGAACTTCTTGACGGTCTCATCGTGGATGAATTCCATCCCACAGTCTCCGGGCATTTCCTCCACCCTCCAGCCGTCCCCGCCATGCTCCACGTCGCACCAGCCCTCCAAGTCCTCTGTAGGAACACGACAGCCCCACCCTAGTCACCCAGTCCTCGTGATGGTGTGGCGGCGCTGGCTGTTGCCCCCATAGTCGGGTGCTGGGCCAACTGGCACTTTAATGCTGTCGGGTGGGAGACGATGGTGGGGTTGAATGGCAGGCACTTTCTGTTTGTCCCAGATTCTCTCTCCCTCCCTCCTGGGAGGGTCCCCTACAGGGCAAGTCTTGCCCTGGGTCACGGATGGTGGAAGGGCCTGGGAGAGAGACCCCCAGGGAACATGCAGACAGGGAAATAAGTGTGTTTATTGGGGCTATTCTGTACTGGGCATTGTGCCAAGTGCTCTCATTTCGCCCTCAAGCAGGCTGGCATTGTGCATGGCCCATTTCCCAGAGGGGGAAGCTGAGCCCCCCAGTCATCGGGTAGTAGGACCTGACCCTCACCTTCTCCGCACGGGTTGCGCAGCAAGTTGCGCCGCCTCTTGCTCAGGAAGTAGAACTGCTGCCAGTGGTCGCGCTCGTCCTCCGAGCCGCCCTCGGGCACCAGCCCCTCCTGCTGGCACTTGAGCAGCCACAGGGGGGCGCCGTCCACCAGCTCCTTCCAGCGCAGACACACCAGGCGGCACACCTGCACCAGCTCGGCGGCCGGCAGCTCCGCCAGCACGCGCAGCAGCAGCGGCTCCGGCAGCTCGTCCAGGAACGCCTCCGCCGCCTCCTCCTCCTCTCCGGCGCTCGCCTCCTCCAGGCACGCCTCCTCCTGCTGCTCCTCAGGGCTTGCCTCCTCAGGCTGGCCCACGCTCTCTGCGGGGGGCAAAGGGGTGGAGGGTCGTGACTGCCCCCAGCCTGTCTCCCTACAGGCCCCTGAACCGCTGTGTGTCCGGTATCCGCCCCCCCACTCAGCAGCTGAGGCCAGAGGTTCTGCAACCAGAAACCGGTGCCCAGTGGAAGTGGAGAAGGCCCAAGGGAACCAGGGCCCCGGACTAGCCCCAAGGCTGGAGAGCCTACTTAAAGGCCTCAGTCTTTCCTGCAAGGCCAGCGCACCCCATGCCTGAGTAGGTAACAGCAGCTGATAATATTTTTAACAGGACTGCCTTACATTTCACAGATGAAGTTCTTTAATCCTTCCGACCACCCTCTGAGATCCCCGCTCCTGTCACCTCCTCATGGAAGCCCTCCTGGACTTCCCCAATACATCGGCTCACCGCCAGAGTTCCAGTCCTTCCCAGATTTTGTCCTAGTCGGTGATGGTTTGTAAAACACCTTTTCTGGGACTAGATTGAGGGCACGAGGGCAGGAACAGGGTCTGGGGAACTTGCTGCTCTGTCCCCAGGGCCTGGCATCTGGCACACCGGCAGCAGCTCCCGTTTACTGGGCACTTAGCGAGTGTGGGCCTGTTCTGAGCATTTTAATTTCATCTACTCTTTAAAGCCTCACAGCATCTCTTCAGGCCTTTTCCTGTCACTGTCCCTGTTTCACTGATGAGGGCACAGAGGCACAGAGAGGTGAACTGGCTGAGGACGGCACAGCAAATGGGTGGTTGGAGCCTAGATTTGACCCCAGGCAGCCTGGCCCAGGGGCCATCTTTAGCCCTCACATGTCAATAAAACCCCTCCCTGAGTTAGGAGGCACCGCTGTGATTTTGATTCTGCAGATGGAAATGCTGAGACCCCAGGATGCACGATGGCTTGTCAAAGGTCACGCTGCTAGTATTAGGGAAGGGGACATGGGGAGCTGAGGCCCAAGGGGGAGGCAACCAGGGGGGTCCTTGATTGGGGGCAGGGCAGAGGGGCTCATTACAAGGCCCCATGTGTCAGACAGAGAGCTGTGATTCATGTTTGGGAAAGGAAGGCTTTTTCCGCTCCCAGCCCTCCGGTTCCTCGTCTATGGAATGCCGGGCCCTCAGACAGTGCTGACGTCCACAGCCCCTGCGGGACAAGGGCATTCTCAACGGTAAGGGAGTAGACAGATGTCAGGAGCTGCAGGCTAGACTGTCCTCTGGATCCCAGCTGGCCTCGGCCAGGCCACTGAAGCCTCAACTAAGCAGATACCAAGTGCCCAGTGTCTCTGGAGGAGGGAGACAGTGTGGGTAGGAGACGGGGCCACTCTGGGTGACAGAGAAGGCCACAGCTCTCAGACTCCGGGTGGGGGTTCCTAAGGGCTGAACCCTGGAAAGCCGAGGTGGTGGTGGAAATGGGCCGGGCACTGGGGAAGGGAACAGGCAGGGCCTGGGCCCAAGTCTGGGTGTCGCCAGGACCCCAGCCTGCCAGCCCCTCCACCTCCTCGCCGATGGCGTTTTCTCCCCTTCCCCACACAGTCAGACCCTTGGTTGTGGAATCGGGGTTTACCTCTTCAGAGCCCAGACTGCACAGTGGGTCCTCAATAGACTTTATTTGTGAGTCTTAGCATTCAGCACAGCACATTCCCTTCATTATTAGCATTTTTATTATTTATTTATTTTGCCACATCTGTATGATGTGGGGCTTTACCCCTTCCCTTTTGGCAAAGAGGAAGCTAAGGCCCGGAGACACTCCCTGGCTTCTCCCAAGCTACACTGCGGAACAGCGGGAAGTCCGAGAAGAACACGCCAGGCTCCGAAGCCACATCACCTGCCCATCCTGCTGCCCACAGCTCTCTGGGGAGCAGAGCCCAGTGTCCTCACCTCTCCACCCCTCCCCCTGCCCTGCCCTGGCCCTGGTGGACACCTGATGCTCCCCCGAAAGGTGCACCTCATCCAGTCCCTTCTCCTGGCCCCAGGCCTGGCACTTGAGGCCCCAGATCTGATTACAGGCCCCCCCCCTTGCTCAAGTGCACACAACTCCCCACATTGTTGCTGTCGGAAAGTTATCTGGCCCCTGGAAGCTGCCTCCAGGGCTGATTCACTCACCTGGATTGGGCCCCGGAGTCCAGGGAATAGCCGGGCCCTGAGAAAAAGCAGGAGCCCATTCTGGGGCCCTAGAAAAGGTGTGGGGGCCACAGAGGACTGGGAGTGGGAGCGAAGGAACTGGGATTTTCGGGGCCAGGAGAAGGGGGCTTGGCTGCCTGAGTGGGCATCAATCTGTTTCCCATTGCCTCCCCCAAGCAGTGCCCACTCTCAGACGGGCCTGCTGAGGAAGGGAGGGGGAGTCCGCAGTCCAGACTGGCTCCCACCCTGACTCAGCTGGCAACCCCTACAGGCCAAGCCGGCTCCGCCAGCTTGAAGGACGGGGGTCTCTGGTGCCAGACAAGATGACTGGGCAATCTCAGAGGGCCCCGAGTATTGGCGAGAGCTGATGCCTAACCTTCCCTCACTGCTGGCCCGGTCCCCACTGGGCACCTGGCCACCCAGATGAAGGGTGGTCCCTCCAGACAAGGGAACCCAGGAAAATGGGGTGGGGAGAGGCCAGTAACCCCAAGACACCCATGCAGATTCAGACAGCTCACCAGCCAGAGCTGGCAAGTGGAAGAAACTGATGGAAGGAAAGGGCGTGAGCCTCCTGCAGCCTCCTTCATCCTAGATGTCGCCCAGACCCCAGCCTGAAAAACCCTCAGAAAGCTGGGAGGCGGGAACGTGGAATTATTTCTATGCTGTTTCCTGGGTAAATGGAAACCCGGCGGAGTCCTTCCTCCCTGCCTGTCACCTCTCGAGGCCTCAGAGGACTATGCTCTTTTGAGACTGTGTCAAGGGCTTTGCTCAGGTGAAAGTTTTCAGCGCTGGGTTTCAGCGCCCCCGCCCTTGTAGCTCTCGCCTGCCTGCCCCGGTCTCCCCTCCCAGGCTGAGCTAGTGGGCCCAGGCTGCGGTAGCTACCTGGGTCACCGTCTCCGTCCATCGCTGCGGAGGGCGATCGCAAGGAGGAGGAGCCGGAGCGCTGCGAGGCTGCCCGGGTCCCTAGGCGTCGGCGAGTCTAGGTGCTGCCTGCGTCTGGGTCGGGTCCCGGCCCGCTGCGCCTCTTAAAGGCCCCTGCCTCCGCCCCCGCCCCGCCTTTGGCCCCGCGCCGGGCCGCCGGGCAGTCCGGAGCTGTCCGCCTGGGGCCTGAGGCTGCAGGTTCCTCGGCGGACCCGGGAGGCCGGGAAGGATCAAGAATAATTTTTATTTTTTTGTTTGCTGGCTTATTTTATTTTTAATGGGGGGGGGGGCCGATCTGAGCCTTCTCCGGGCGCCCTTCTGAGTTGGCTGTCGGGAGGAGGACGCGAGGGGACGGGGAAGAGTCTGGGTCACGCGGAGGGTGCGGGGCATGCAGCCAAGCGAAGGGGAGGGCAGAGGCTCCTCCCGACACCCCCACCCGGGGTAATTTTCCTACTTCGCGGTGGGGGGGCGCGTCCCAGGTCCACGCACCCAGGCGCACGCCGGCGCGGCTCGGCGCAGGGAGGGGAGCGGGCGGTGGAGGCGGGGCCGGGGCCGGGCCGCGCACCCGGCAACCGCAGGCGGAAGCCGGCTCAGCTTGTGCGACCCAGTGGGATCTCGCCCCGGTGGCCGAATGCAGGTGACCAGCGGGAGTGGGCACGGGGGTGACCGCGGCAGGGGCGTGGGCCGGGCAGCCGGCTCTGCGGTTCCCGGCCCCGCCGCTGTGCGTGGAGGGAGGCCCGACTCGAAAAGTCTCAGGCCGCCGGCGCAGCGCGGTGCGGCCTCCAGCGGTGGCGCGAGCGGAAACCCGGGCAGGGGTCTTCCTCGATGTGTAGGGGTCCGAGTCACGACTTTGGGGGACTTGTTAAAGTCGCGACGCGGAATAGGAGGCCGAAGGCGCGCAAGGGGACCCGGAGCTGGAGCCCGGACACGGGAATGGGGGTGGGGGAATAGGCAAGGCCTTTCCATTGCCCACCCCTTCCCCAGTCCCAGCTGGGCAGACCATGTCCACTGCTGTCTTGAGAATGTCACTGGAGCCCTTCGGACCTCCGTCTGAGACAATAAGTGTTGCTGCCCCCAACATCTCCCCTCTCTCAGTTGATGGAGAGAATGGAGAAGGCACGGGACAGACTGGACTGTTCTGCGGGGCCGCGCTCTGCTGCTTTCATTCTACAGGCTATTGGCCTATTGAAAAAAGCCGCCTCTAGAATCGGAGAAGACTGGCTCCCGTCTGTGCGTCTTCGGGCAGATCCAGCCATCCGTCCGTGGGCCTCCTTAAGCCTCCTTTACAGAGGAGGACACCGAGGCTCAGAAAGGCACAGTGACTTTCCTGAGACAGTAAATGTCAGGCCCGGGATAGGAACCTCCGCCACCACAGGGTGCAGGGAGAGGGCTTGGTCTGGAGCCCAGCTTTTCAATATCCACAGGAAAGCGTCTGGAAGCCAGGAGCCATGGCGGTGGGGAATATCAACGAGCTGCCGGAGACCATCCTGCTGGAACTGTTCACACACGTGCCCGCCCGCCAGCTGCTGCTGCGCTGCCGCCTGGTCTGCAGCCTCTGGCGTGACCTCATTGACCTCGTCACCCTCTGGAAGCGCAAGTGCCTGCGGGAGGGCTTCATCAGCGAGGACTGGGACCAGCCCGTGGCGGACTGGAAGATCTTCTACTTCCTACAGAGCCTGCACAGGAACCTCCTGCACAACCCGTGCGCAGAAGGTGGGGCGCAGAGTGGGTCCAGCTTGCTCCCAACACACACACTGTCGGGATACCTGCTAACATTTATTAAGCACTTACTATGCGCTAGGCACTTGCAGTTAACTCCTTTAATCCTCTCACAATAACCCTAAAAGGTGGGTACTGGTAGCATGCCCATTTTTCAGAGATGCAAACTGAAGCCAAGAGTGGCATTTCTTATTTTACCCTTAAGATTTCTTCCCCAGTGACCTTTCCTAGGAGAGAGAATGTTGGCCCGTTAGGACTAATTGTGTCTCAGACACAAGACCAGCAAGTCAGCCTCCAGGGCTAGTTCCACTAGGATGGTCACCAAGGTCAAAAGGGGCTGGGCTTATGGAAGAATGACAGAGCCAGTCCTTTCCGGCACGTTTCAACAACAGATTAAACAAGCCCTCTGCAGTCATCCAGAGCTCCCTTGTCCCCTCGCTGTGGTGAATTTGTCGGCTGCACACCGGCATGGGGAGGTGGGAACATGCCAAATTCCGGAGCAACGTGGTGATAAAACAAACAACTCCAAGCTCTCCAGAGCTGTTGGAGGCCTGCCTCACTGGATCCCCGCAACAGCCTTGTTCTTGCCCAGCAGCGGGTACACTATGGTCTGTGAGTCAGATCTGGTGCAGAAGCTAAGAATAGTTTTTACAGTTTTAAAGTGTTAACAAAAAGCGTACTATGTAACAGAGACAGTGCCCACAAAACCTAAAGTATTTTGGCCCTTGACAGAAAGTTTGCCACTTCCTATTCTTGGCCCCAGTTTCTAGAAAACAAAACCAAGGCTCAGAGAGGGAAGGCAACTTGCCTAGGGTCACACAGCCCAGTATTGGCAGAGGCAGGACTAGACCCAGATCTGGGCAATGTCAGAGTGTTCTGCATCATCAGAGGGGCTGCTGCTCCTTCATAGCATCGTGTGTCTCAGGCTTGCAGAGGAAATCACCTACCACGGTGCCTGACCCAGGAAGCTGCTCGTTTGAGGCAGGCGTTACCGGTCTGCAGTGTTCTGTGGCAGGAATGCAGGGCTGGGGGGCAACTGCTGGGGTCCAGGGAGAAGGGGCCCTTGGGAGACTGTGACCATGGAAGGGCATCCCCTTGATGTGCCCGGTGCTTTCCTGCCAGAGGGATTTGAGTTCTGGAGCCTGGATGTGAATGGAGGTGATGAGTGGAAGGTAGAAGATCTCTCTCGAGACCAGAGGAAGGAATTCCCCAATGACCAGGTCAAGAAATACTTCGTGACTTCTTATTAGTAAGATCCAAGGTCAGGGGGTCTTGGGGTGAGGGGGGAGCCCAAGTCACTGCACCCCGGGGTCTCTCCTGCTCTGGGCAGGCAGTCCTAGCCTTCCAGCGCCCTAGTGGTGAGCCTCAGCCCCTCCCACCCTCCGCCCACCCCCCAGCACCTGCCTCAAGTCCCAGGTGGTGGACCTCAAGGCCGAAGGGTATTGGGAGGAACTGATGGACACCACACGACCGGACATCAAGGTCAAGGACTGGTGAGTGCCCAGGGTGAGGGTTTGGGGGGGCTCTGCCACTCAGGCGCCCCACCCCCACCTGCCCCCCATCTCCAAGGCCCTAACGGGCCTTCCCCCTGCCTGCAGGTTCGCAGCAAGGCCGGACTGCGGGTCCAAGTACCAGCTGTGCGTTCAGCTCCTGTCGTCAGCACACGCGCCTCTGGGGACCTTCCAGCCAGACCCAGCAACGATCCAGCAGAAGAGCGATGCCAAGTGGAGGGAGGTATGTGGGCCGGGAAGAGGGCAGGAGCACACTGCTCGTGGCCGAGACCACAGGCAGACAGGTCTGGGCTCAAATCCCAGCTCTGCTGCTTCTCACCTGGGCTTCGCCGCTCTGAGCTCTGAAAGACCTCAGCGACGTGATGCCGGTAAAGCCACGTTCAAAAGGCTATTATTACCTACTAATGTTGATGGTCACTGCTGCCTCCGTGCTGGCAGGTGACAGCAAATGGTCAGCAAACATTTTCTGAAAAAGCTAGATGGAAACACTGCAGGCTTTGCAGGCCGTGCCGTCCCTGTTACAGTTATTCAACTCTTGGACTCCGCAGCTGCAACACAGCTGCAGCGAGTGGGCATGTCTGTGTTCCAGTCAGACTTACAAAAAAAAGTAGGTGGGGGGCCAGCTCCGGATCTGGGCCAGTGGTGTCCAGGAGACTTCCTGCGGTGATAGAAATGATCTGTCTGCACTGTCCTGTGTGGTAGCCAGTAGCCACTTAATAAGAGCCAGTTCCCAGTGTGACTGAGGCACTGAATGTTTGAGTTCACTTAATGTTAACTAATTTTAAACTAAATGGCTACATGTGCCCATGACGACTGAACTGGACATCCTTTGAAAGCTTGAGAAATTGCCTTGGTCATTCTGTCCTGCGCTGGGATCCTCCAGGATTTTACTCCATTTTGCAGATGAGGAAACTAAGGCACAGAGGGGGGAGATGGTCTGCCCAGCAGCTCAGAGTTAGAACTGGAACTCAGTTCCGCTGACTCCTGCACCAGCACTAAGATAGCAGACGCCCCCTGGCCCCTGCTGCCCCTCAGGCGGCACTGCCCTCAAAGGTCACCTCCTCTGACCTCACTCCCTCCCTCCCTCCCCCTGCCCCCTCCCAGGTCTCCCACACTTTCTCCAACTACCCGCCCGGCGTCCGCTACATCTGGTTTCAGCACGGCGGTGTGGACACCCACTACTGGGCCGGCTGGTACGGCCCGAGGGTCACCAACAGCAGCATCACCATCGGGCCCCCCGCCGCCCTGATGTCTCCGAGCCCCCATGCACAGAACGCTGACTGGTAAACTGTTGTCAGAGGAAAGCTGGGCTTGGGAAAGGGAGGTGGGCCAGGCTTCCCCGGAGCGCCTAGTTCAGCCTTGCTTCCCACCTGCCTCTTCATGGAGCCTCGCCATTTGTGCTGCCTTCACGTGCTGTGGACAGCCCATCCGAGGGCTCGACCTGAACGATGAGGGCGCAGGCATTTAGGAGATGGGGCCCCTGAGGTCAGGGAGGTATAGGGTGTTCCCCCAGGGCCCTCCCCCAGACCCCGTGAGGGTGGGTCTCCAGGCTCAGATGGCAGCCGAGACCTGGGTTTCTACCTTCCCCTTCTGGGCCTTTCTCCGCATCTCTTTTGGGGCCCCTCGAAGCAGGGGCAGAGTCTAGGACATCTGGCCAGCCTGTGGCTGCCCTGGATAGTGCAGATGCTGGCAGGTGACGGTGTCGCTCAGACGGGCCTGAGAGTGGAAGGAGGGCTCTGCTGTTCCTAAGCTCTCGCTCTGCCCGCCGGCTCTGAGTGGTGGCTGAGGGCCAGAGGCTGGTGCCTGGTCTGAGACGGGCAGGCCCGGGGTGGGGTGGAGTCCACGCCGGGTCTGGGCTGTCCTCACCGTCGGTGACTCCCCAGAAGCCAGATGGGGCGGGGCTCTCCAGAAGACCTCCAGAATCTTGTACCTGGTAACACAGGGCAGGTGGATGCAGGATCGGGCTGTGATTCTGGGAGCTAGGATGTGTGGGCATAGGATGAGTGGGGTGGGGTTTTCAAGGACCACCCGTCCATCTCCGTGTCTGGACCAGGCCCCCACCCACCCTTGGAACTGCCATTCATAGGCCCTCCCCACCCTGCTCTCTGCTTCTCCCTCCCGCTGGAAGGACACCAGTGCTCTGACCCCACCCCTGCCAAATGCAACCAAATAAAAGGCCTTCCCAGCCCAACTCGTGCCCTGTGGTCTCTGGGGGGGGGGGCAAAGTTCATGGGAGGCCCCAGACCTGTCAAAGGAGCAGCATGTGTGGCCTCTGTCCAAGGAACAGAGAGGGGTTGGCATTGCAGGAGCCGTGCCATGGGAGAACCAGGGTCCCGGGACAGACCCCTCCATGAGCTGCAAATACCTGGCCCCAGTAGCCATCGGCCTAGCTAACTTCCACTGTGGCCTGGCAGCCAGCCTGGGGCGGGGCGAGTGGCTGTCTCCTGGCAGCCCTTGCATGCACCTCACACTGGGTCAGCGGGGTCATCCCAGCCCTGCTCGCAGTGGGTTAACTTACTCTTCCCAGAGCTTCAATGACATTAGATAAAGCCAAGGCACTTGGTTCTCAGTGGGTGCTCAGTGAGCACTGTTAGATGAGGGCCTCGGCCGAGGCAGGGACCACCACTCAACACCTGTATGGCAATTTAGCAGAGGATGCCCTTCCTTGGAGAACATACAGCCCTAACAAGGAGTTAATGGGATCTGGCCAGGCACCCTGATGCTGTGCACAGCCTGCGCAACTCTTTCTGGTTCCCCAAAGGACCAGGTACTTGGTCATTATTTGTACAATGAAGGATCAGTGAATTTAATCCAGACAAGCACGCAGAGAGATTTTTACTTTTTAAAAATAATTTATTATGCCATTAGTTGTCCCATTCCCCCCTTCATTCCCCTCCACCCTGCACACCCCCTCCCACCCACATTCCCCCCTTTAGTTCATGTCCATGTGTCATAAGTTCTTTAGCTTCTACACTTCCCACACTACTCTTGCCCTCCTCCTGTCTATTTTCTCCCCACCGTCTATGTTACTTATTCTCTGTATATTCTCCCCACTTCTCCTCCTCCCACTCCCCTTTTGCTCATCCTCCATGTGATCTCCATTTCTGTGGCTCCACTCCTGTTTCAGCTGTCTGCTTAGTTTGCTTTTGTTTTAGGTGTGGTTGTTAATAACTGTGAGTTTGCTGTCCTTTCACTGTTCATATTTTTATCTTCTTTTTCTTAGATAAGTTCCTTTAACATTTCATATAATAAGGGCTTGGTGATGATGAACTCTAACTTGACCTCATCTGAGAAGTGCTTTATTTGCCCTTCCATTCTAAATGAAAGCTTTGCTCGATAGAGCAATCTTGGATGTAGGTCCTTGCCTTTTATGACTTGGAATACTTCTTTCCAGCCCCTTCTTGCCTGTAAGGTCTCTTTTGAGAAGTCAGCTGACAGTCTGATGGGAACTCCTTTGTAGGTGACTGTCCCCTTATCTCTTGCTGCTTCTAGGATTCTCTCCTTCATTTTAATCTTGGCTAATGTAATTATGATGTGCCTTGGTGTGTTGCTTCTTGGGTCCAACTTCTTTGGGACTCTCTGAGCTTCCTGGACTTCCTGGCAGTCTATTGCCTTTGCCAGATTGGGGAAGTTCTCCTTTATTATTTGTTCAAATAACTTTTCCATGTGTTGCTCGTCCTCTTTCCCTTCTGGTACCCCTATAACTTGGATGTTGGAACATGTAAAGATGTCCTGGAGGTTCCTAAGCCTCTCCTCATTTTTTTGAATTCTTGTTCATTCTTTTCTGTTTGGTTGTTTCTTCCTTCTGGTCCACTCCATTGATTTGAGTCCCAATTTTCTTTCCATCACTATTGGTTCTCTATGCATTTCCCTTCATTTCACTTAGTGTAGCCTTCGTTTTTTCATCTAATTTGCAACCAAAATCAACCAGTTCTGTGAGCATCCTGATCACCAGTGTTTTAAACCATGCATCTGATAGGTTGGCTATCTCTTGGTCGCTTAAAAAAGTATTGGCTCTGGGGTTTTTTGTTCTTCTGTCTGAGCCATATTTTTTTGGCTCACGCCTATTATGTATGAGGGGCGGAGCCTTAGGTGTTCACCAGGGCAGGGCAACCCAGTCACTGGGTTGTGATGCTGCATGTGGGGGCGGGGTCAGAGAGGGACCAGTGGCACTTGTTCTGCTCTCTCTCAGGTTTCAGTCCCCTTTGCAGCATCCCACACCCTTTCTGGTGCTGGTTCCTGGGTGGCTGGGCTTGTGTGTGTTCTAGGACCCTGTGGGTCTCTCCCTCGAATTCTGTGAGGCTGGGAGTCTCTCCCAGCACCTTCTCAGTGGGTGCTTTTAGGCTTTATTTCCCTTCCCTGGGGCCCTGGGTTGCAGGTCTGTCTTGCTGCCTGTTTTTGCCTGCTTTATATGCATATGAATGTGTGACTGAGCCTCCTCACTGGGTCTGCTCCTTTCCTCCCTGTGCCCAGGGTCCGCCAGCCAAGGCCTTTTCCTGCCCTGACCCCTCTCCGCCTGCCGCCGACTCCGCCCCTCTCATGGGTCTGGATGAATGGTTGTTAGACTTCTGTAGTCAATTTTCTGTCAGTTCTGGTTGGTTTTTTGGTTCTAAATCTTTGTTGTCCTTAATTTTGGTTGTGCGAGGAGGTACAGTTCCCACCTATGCCTCCATTTTGTCCAGAAGTCAGATTTTTTTACCTTTGAGTAAATGGAGGCCTGCCGGAGGTCAAGCCCTAGGGAAGGTAGGAGCCAGGCCTAGCTTGACCTTCACATTCAGCAATTACCCTCCAGGGGGCCCACTGGCCCAGAGGTCCCCTCCTCTCACCTCCTTTCCCTACCTGGGAAGCAAGTTAAGAAAGAGGTCTGAGGCGGAGGTGGTGCAGGGTGGGGTGTTTAGGGGGCTGGTTAGGACCAGCCGCCTCGGGTTGGGGGCGGGGAGCAAAGGGAAAAAATGGATCCCAGCGGCTGCTGAGCTGCCCCCCACCTGGGGGGAAAGGCTGATGCTTAGAAAAGGAAGACCTCCGGTGCCTGGGGCAGCCCCCGAAACCTTTTTCCATAGCGTCAGCCCCCTGCGGCCAGGTCCTGACCTCAGGCGGGGCTGGTTGACGCAGCGCGTGCGTCAGTGAGGGGCGGGGCCAGAGCGCTGGAGCGAGGCGCAGGCCTGTCCCGCCCTGCCTGGCATCCCGCCCCCTACGCCGCTCTCCGCTAACCCGGAGTGCAGGCAGGGGGCGACGGGTGCGGCGAAGGGGTGAGTGTCCATAGTCGGGAAACGGGTAAACCTGGGGCATTACCCGCGGACGCTGTGTCCGGAGCGGCGGAGGGGCCGGGAGGGCCTCCCGGGACCACGGGGTGGGGTTCCGGCGGGGTGCGGGGCTGGTCGAGCGCTGCGCGGAATCCCCTGTCGCCTAGTCGTGACTCCCGCTCCGTCTTGGCCTGCGGGCTGCCCCAAAACGCGCCGTACCTCCCGGCCCACACTTCGTGGGTGAGACCCACGCCGGCAGATGAATTGGGACCAGCCGGCACGCCCATGTCTGCGGAGCCTAGAACCAGCGCCTGCTTTTTCCGAGCCAAAGCTTCTGCTTTCGAAGGTGCTTTGAGTAGTTGTTGGGAGGGTCCAGGGACACAAGGCCAGTGCGTGATGCCGGGCGGGCACGTGGGAAGCCCAGTAAGTGCGAGGCGGCTTATTTGGGCTGGCGTGAATGTTCTAGGGTGGGCTCCCCTTCCGAGGCCCACCACCACCGCGCAGTCAGGCTTCACGCAGGACACGAGGCCCACGAAGGACGGAAACTAAGGGTAGGGGGAGTGATAACAGGCGACCAGAGACCGGCCTTTGAATGCCAAAGTGAGGAGTTCCTGGTACCTAACTCAGAGCCCAGCGACTTTTACTTAGCCAGGGGTGTCCAACCTGCAGCCCCTGGCCGTATACAGTCCAGGGTGGCTAGGAATTTACAACACAAAATTGTAGATTTACTTAAAACATTTTTTTTTTGCACATCAGTTTTTGTTAGTGTTTGTGTATTTATGTGTGGCCCAAGACAACTCTTCTTCCAGCGTGACCCAGAGATGCCAAAAGGTTGGACACCCCTGTCTCGGTCCTAGACAGTACTTTTAGAAGTTGCCCGCGTTAAAATCTCACAGGTTTCATTTTTTTTAAATGTTTACAGTTCCTCCTGAAAAATTAGACCTGGCTACGTGAGAGTTTTTATCCATCACAGTATTTTGCGTAGTGCCTTACTTATGTCTGTTTTTCTCTGCGGTCCTGAAACACCGTCCCCTGGGCAGGAACCAGGGCGCATGCACCCACCCTTCTTCCGCCCTGCTCCCCCAAACAGGAGCTTAGAGAAGATGCTGAACTGCCTCTTCTTCCCAGTCTTTATGGGACATGAGAAGTCTTCCTGGTGTGGGTGCAGAATGTTCCCTCCCCCACCCCTGGGGCAGGAGGTGGGGGGTGGGAATCTGCTCAGAGGGCTTCCTGACCAGACCCCTCAGGGATCTGGTAAGGGATCTTGCCTTACCAGGCATGATCCAGGCTACTGTGAGTCAAAACCCTTGTGCAATTTAGGTGTGGAGGCAGGGAAGCCTTGGGGACAGGTAGCTAGCTGTACAACTGCGTACTTTGACTTGCTTTTGGTTTTGCTTTTGCTTTTGGTTTTAGTCCAATGATAGAAGTAACAAAGTCCTGTGCCAAATGCTTTCTTAGCTGCTCCTGCTTCTCTAAGGTTGGGACACTTATCACCTCCTTTTCACAGCTTCACAAGTTAGTCACTGCAGATCCGGATTCAAACCCAGGCAGCCTTGCTCTGGGTCCCCAAAGCGCTTTTTGGTTTCTGGGCCTTTCACAGTGGCTCTGGCCTGACTGCCGCCCCAGAAGGGAAGGGGCGCACTCACTTGGGTGCTTAACACATCTGGCTTCCAGGCCAAAGAAAGTAGTTTGTTCCTTAGTGCCAGCTAGCCTTACCAGTTAATCAAGTTGTGACATAGTAATAAAGATTTGATAACAGTGAATTCACAACACTGAAACATCACCACAAACCCTTACAGAGCTCCCAGATGTCACTGTGGCACTGGCAGAATCTTACTGTGCACCAATTTAAAATTAGGCAATTATTTTTTTTAATGGAAGGGAAAGCTCTCTTAAAAAATTAGTCCGGCTCTGGCCAGGTTGGTTAGTGCCATCCAATTACACCAAGGTTGCAGATTCGCTTCTCCATCCTGGGTCAGGGCACATGCAAGAAGCAGCCAATGAATGCACAGATAAGTGGAACAGCAAATTGATGTTTCTCTCTTCCTCCTCCCCTCTCAAATCAATCTTAAAAATGAGTCTGTATTTTGAGGGCCTTCTGTGAACTGGAAGGCTGCTCTAACACGTCGGTCTTGACCTCCCACTTCACAACAGACGCAGGATTAGGAGTCCCTGGCCCGGGACCCTAGGGATCTGAGGCGGCCACCTCCTTGGTCAATGCTGTGACTGCTGTTGCCCCCCACAGGCCTGTGCCCGCACCTCGCCCCCACCGCAGCAATGGCCCTGGTCAGCATCAATGAGCTGCTGCCAGAGAACATCTTGCTGGAGGTGTTCACGTACGTGCCAGCACGTCAGCTGCTGCTGCGCTGCCGGCCTGTCTGCAGCTTCTGGCGTGACCTCATTGATGTCGTGACCCTGTGGAAACGCAAGAGCCTGCAGGAGGGCTTCATCACCGAGGACTGGGACGAGCCTGTGGCAGACTGGAAGGTCTTCTATTTTTTGTGCAGCCTCCGCCGGAACCTCCTGCGCAACCCGTGTGCTGAAGGTGGGCTGCTTCCTTGTCAAACCCTCAGGACCTTTGCACACTACCCGGAATGTTCTCTCAGAACCTAATGCCCACCATGCTTCCTTGGTTCCTGTTCATTCTTGAGGTCTCAGTTCAGGGACCTGCCCTGGCCCATCTAAAACCAGTGTTCCCTGCCTCTGTCCACCACCTCCACTTAGTTCCTTCCTAGAACTTTTCATAACCTAGAATCACCTTTCTGTCTCTTTTCCTTGTCACAAACTTCATGCTTGCCTCTCTATATCCAGAGTCCACAACACCTCCACACAGCAGGTGCTCGAGAAGCCTCTGTTGAATAAACAAACTGCAGGTCCCCCTTTAGCTCAGTCTGAGCTGCCTCTGTGCCAGGCACTATCCTGAGCTCTTCCCAAATGTGAATACCCTCCCTTATCCCAATTATACGAAGAAAATGAGGGTTTTCAGAGGTGGCTGCAGTCATATAACTTGAGGTCCGTTTATCTCGAGTTCCCTTGTATTCACCAGGGTTTTTTCCCTTCATGCAGCCACCTAGCGCGTACCAGGCACCGAGCTCCTTTTGGGGGCTACAGCAGCAGCTGATTGAGAGGCACTGGCTGTGTACCTGGAATCCCTCTCACCTGGGTCCCAGGAGCTGGCCCATTAAGGCAGGTCAGCTGCATCGTGCAGATGGGAACATTAGGCCCCAAGCAAGACGGGTGTCCTTCCTGGAGACCCAGAAACGCCCAGCTGCCAAAGGCCCTCAGGCCCCTCAGCATCGCCATAGCCAGCGCCCCAACACTCCGAGCTCTCCACTGGCCCCAGGTTCCTCTCGGAAGCTGCCCAGCCAGGCCACCGGCTCAACTTCTGGCCTCCTGTGCTGCCCATCTGGTTCTGTACTGCAGAGGCTCTAGGCACCTGCGTAATGGGTGCAGTGCAGGCCCCTTGTAGAGGAAGCAAGGGAGGGATTTGGGAAGGCTCCCCTGGTGATCATTCTGGAAAGCCCTGGTGAGAAACAGCTGTTGTGGGAACGGCTTCTCAGCTCGGTCTGAAGAGGGGACCGGAACCTACTGGCCCCAGCTGGTGGGAATCATCCCACAAACGGGGCCACTGCATACCACCAGCCCAGCCATTACCCCTCCTGCCCAGGCGGAGGTTTCCTGGAACCCCCCCCCCAACAAACCTATCAGTGGTCCTCATGCCCCTCAGATCTCAGTGACATGGTTAGGACACCTGGGAGCAATGTCAGTTGTCCCTTTGGGACATATTCACGTGAGCCAATAAGAACAAAAGTATCATCCCCATTTAATGTTCTGAGAACTGAAACTTCGGTATTTCCCAGAGATCGCCAGCAACATCAAACTGAGAAAAGGTGAGGTTTTGCCCCAGCCTCACGTGAGAAGTCAAGCTAGTGAAGGACAAAGCGGGAGGGGGCGGATCCCAGACCAGAAGCGATACCCTGGGGACAGGTGGGAGTGGGCTGGAGGAGCTGAGCTTTGTCGGGGTGTTCCCAGGTGCAGGTGGGGTGCGCAGCTTGAGCTCTGAGAGGACAAGCAGGCCCCCCTTTCGGCGCCCCCTCCTCCTCCCTCCCAGGACCAGAGGGGGAGGGCCGGGCCGGGCTGCGCGTTTGCATTTACCCAGCTCTGACTCTCCCAGAGGGTATGACATCCTGGCATATCGACTCCAATGGGGGCGACCAGTGGAAGGTGGAGAGCTTACCGGGAGACCACGGGACAGACTTTCCTGGCCCCAAAGTCAACAAGTACTTCGTCACATCCTATGAGTAAGACACACTGAACCTACCAGGCTGGGTTGCCGGGAAGAGCGCCGGGACACCTTTTGCCAAACCCCAGGCCTACCTCCTCAGGGGCTCGTGAAGCTCAGAGCCTACTGCCTGGGGCAGAAGTAACTCTGACTGGGGGTGGAGCCCAGGAGGCTGGGAGCCCCTGGGGCAGTTAGGCTGTCAGGGTGTGTACAGGCTTCCCTAACCCAGGAGTGTGAATTCCCTGGGGCCCCGGGAGACTGGGCCTAGGAACTGGGATCAAATGCTGCCCAGGGCAAAGCGGGCAAACTCCCTGCATGTTTCTTATGGGTCTATGCCGAGCTAGGAGCCAGAGTCAGCACCAACCAGCAGCTGTCCTGCAGCGGTCAGGGGACACTGCTGGGTCCCCTGAACCACCTCCTGGGTCCAGGCCCTGCAGAGCACACCTGGGAATGCAAGCCTCTCCCTCCGCTCCCTAGGTTATGCCTCAAGTCCCAGCTGGTGGACCTCAAAGCCGAGGGCTACTGGGAGGAGCTGATGGACAAGTTCCGGCCTGACATTGTGGTGACAGACTGGTGAGTCCAGCCAGGGCCCCACACTCCGAGTCCTCCACTTTTCCTTAAACACCTGGGGTGAGTGCCTGTTCTGTGCCCAGTAGCGTCCTATAGCAAGGGCCACCCCCCTCCCATCGCCAGACCTAGCACTTGCTCATCCAGTAGCACCTTCCAGCCTTCCTACCACCCTGTGTTAGCAGTGGACGTTGACCCCACTTTACAGATGGGGAGACTGAGGTCTACAGATGAGTTGTCACGAACAAGCCCTGGAGCAACAGCCAGCCAAGATCCAGCCTACCCGGACCTCACAGTGCTCACATGCCCTGTCTGCCTCCCTGCCCCTTGTCACTGTGTAGCCCACACCTCTCAAGTCCCTTCTCTGTACACAGCTGTGCCAGGCTCTGACTTGGCCCACGGCAGAAGCAGGACACCAGTCCCAGCCAGCGTCACCACTCTGAGGGTGGAGGGGCGGACAGAGATTTGGGGGGTTGGGTGGGGACAGCTGGGCTGAGTGGAGGGCGAGCTATGTGTCAGCCCCGACTGCCTGGGCCACCCCTCCCTTAACCTCCCCCGGAGTCCACAGCCTGGCCCCCGGCAACGTGCAGGTGACACCGCTCTGACAGCCTGGGCGTTCATCTCTGTGCTCTGCTTTTTAAGGTGAACTCTTCTCTGAAATACCCCAAAGGGTTGCCCTTTTCTCAGTAACTAAGGCCCAGCCCAGGCAGACTGCTTCCCAAGGTCCAGGGAGCGCTGAAGGTGGGCCTCGTGGGCTGCACAGGAAATGAACCTCAAGAGCTCCAATGTGTAGGCCTGCTGCCTGCCCACCACCAGGGCCGCCCGTGGTCTTGGGGTACACAGTCCTGAGCCCCACCCTCACCTAGGTTCGCCGCTAGAGCAGACTGCGGCTGTACCTACAGCATCCGAGTGCAGCTGGTCTCGGCCGACTATATCACCTTGGCAACCTTTGAGCCCCCGCCTGTGACCATCCATCAGTGGAACGATGCCACGTGGACAGAGGTGAGGCCTCCACTGCTTGCCTGCCACCCACTTCTCTCGGGGCCTGCACTGCCCGGAGCACTGCCACCTGGAACTCGCCCTCCCCATCCTGGTGGTAACTTCCTCTGCCCTCCCTTCAGGTCACCCACACCTTCTCGGATTACCCCCCCGGCGTTCGCCACATCCTCTTCCAGCACGGGGGCACAGACACCCAGTTCTGGGCAGGCTGGTACGGGCCACGCGTCACCAACAGCAGCATCGTCATCAGCCCTAAGATGACCAGGAGCCCGGCGCCCTCCACAGCCCAGCCCAGGCCCAAGGTAGGGGAGGAAGGGAAATGCTGACTTGCCCTCCCTCCGCCTCATTTCTGCAGGCCCTCCTGACAGTGTCATCTGACAGCTACTTATCCGTCCGTCTCTGCCAGCCCAGGGACCTCCTGCCACAGTTCTAACCTTAGGCAAACCCACCAGATTGTAGTAACTTCCTCTGACAACTTACTGTTCAACATAGCCCTGCTCTTTTGTCAAAATAAATGTTTTCAGTAAAACCAGCCTGGGTTGTGTCTGGGGGGTGGGGGTCCCCAGCACTTTGATGGAGAAGTGGCCCTTTCCCCAGGTGGATTTGGCTGCATCTGTCCCTCCCACTACCAGTAGTGAGAGCCCAGGTCGGCCCTTGGGGCCCTTTATTGAAACAACGCACAGCATAGTATTTGAGACAGTGTTGGCCGGCGAACCCCCAGGAGGCCGAGGAATGCAGGTCCCACGTCCTTCCTGCCCTTCTGGGGGGAGTTCCTCCATGAAGACAGCCAGCCCTGAGCAGCCCGGCGCTGGAGAGCGAGCAGTCCATACACAGAGGCAATAAGAGCACTTGGAATCGGGGGGGCCCTGCAGCACTGCCCGAGGCTGAGGGCCCCCAGAGTCCGACAGTTGTGGCATCTGCAGCAGGGCAGACACACCCTCAGCTGCTTTTATGAGCTCGTTCTTCCACGTAGAGCTGCATCTAATGGACAGGAACAAACAGCCGCGTCAGGGGGGCGGCCACATCGGGGCCTGTGTGATGGGCCCACAGGCCCCTGGCAGGCAGCTCTCTGCCAAGGGTCAGGCTGGATGGCCACAGCCAGAAGTGAAGGGAAAGGGGATGGGAGGAGCCTTACACCAGCACTCCCTGGAAATGTCCCCCAGGCCTTGTCCACAAGGCCTCAGCACACCCTAAATAAAGCATACCCGGTCCTCACACAGCTCACCTTTAAAATGTCCGACGTCATGGTTTTTAGGGGTATCAGCCGGGGGTCATGCATGTGGACGTCCTGCTCATCTGCCAGGATCCAGGGGAAGTCCTGGGGAGGGAGTCGAGGGGAGAGGGTAAAGGGGAGCTGGAACCTGGACTGCCCTCCTTTGGTCCCCCCACCAGACTTTGGGGAGCATCAGAATCACCAGGGAAGCGCAGATTCCCAGGCTCCTCCACAGGACAGGCCAGGTCTGTAGGTCAGAGCTGGGCTGGGAACCCAAGTAACTTAATAAGCCCTAAGCACCAATTCTGAAACTAGTGGGCAAGGACCCCCCCCCCCGGAGAACCCTCACCAAGCCAGCAGCCCCATCATCCAGCCCCACCCCTCCCTGACAAATGGCAGGCCTCTAGCCACGCAGTTAACACACAGAAGGAGCCCCCTGGGTGCCAGGGACTGTCATAAGCCATGTGACTAGTGCAGCAGCTATGGGCAGCACCCTGCCCACTGGAAGTGTGGTGGCATCTGCTTATCAGAGCCTCCCAGCTGTCCCCCTGCCCAGACCAGTGTCATCTCACCTTGATGACCTGGATCTTCTCCATGTTGCGAGTGGCCGCTTCCCTCGTGTGCACCAACACTGTGAAAGTACAGCCTGAAGAGGCGAGCGTTGGGTCACACCCAGGCCACACCATGCCTGCCACTCGGCTTAGTCTCTTCCCCCCTCCCTAGCTGACTCAGCAGCCCCACAGACTGGAGTGGAAACCAAATGTTAGACACAGTCAGCAGGCAGATGGAAGCCAGGGTGGCGTCAACCAGGGAAGCTTCCTGGAGGAAGTAGACTTTCAAAGGAGTTGTAAATGGCAGGAAGGGACGGGGCTCAGTGCAGCCAAACAGGGACTTGAGAACGCTGACCAACCCAAGGTAGCCACGGAAACACCCAGGGAAAAGGCAGCAGGAGGGGAGCACACCTGGGGGGTTGTGGTCCAGGACAGCGTCACACACGCTGATCTTCAGGATAAAGGCTCGGAGCAGCTGCTCCACGTGAGACAGCAGGGAGTCTGAGCTGGAAAGGAAAGGATGGCCTCCCATCACACGGGTGCCCCCCTCCCGCCAGCATGCAGTCAGCCTGGGAAGCAAACCAGGGGGTCCAGGGCCCCTCTAGTCCTCCTGAGAGTTTTGACTTCTTAAGAGCCTGGCTACCTATCATCTGGGAAGTTTAAAACCAACACAGAGCCCCACCCCAGACTAGTTAAGTCAGGATGCAGGGAAGGGAGGAAGGGATTCCCTACAGGTAGTTCCTATATGCTGATATCCCCCCCACCCCCACTCCAGACTGGGAACTAAGACCTGGAGCCCGAGGGAAAGGGCCTGCCCAAGGCCATACTAGGACAGAGACGGATTTTATTGTCCTGACCTCACCACCGGAAGCCAGCAGCCGACCAGCCAACATTCCTGCCCAAGGAATGTTGACTAGAGACTATACCACTTGACTGGGAGGTTAATACACTGGTCATGGCCTGGCTCTGGGAGACCCTGGGTTGTTCATGCCACATCTCTGGGCCTCAGTTTCTCCATCTCTGTAAGATGAGGCTGGGACTAGCCATTCACCAGTGCTGTGGTTTTCTAGGTATGGCACTGGAGGACCTCCATGTAACCTGTGTGAGGTCCCGAGACCACTTGGCGGCCTGCCTGTTGGGTTGGCACGTCTTGCATTTTTCCGAGGTACTAGGAGCTGCCTTAAAGGGGTGAGGGAAGGGCGTTCCTAGGGACCTCGCACCATTGGCAGGGGGGTGGTGGGGTGGCCACTCACCTGATAGACAGCAGAGGAGGCTGGGTGATTTCAAAGACGAACTTCTCTACTGGACGGTGCTCTTTGTCCAAAATTACCACCACCACTTTCTCCACATCATTCTGCAAGGACAGGAATCCCCTACTCCAGAAGTGGGTGCCCCACCCACCACCGCCCCGCCCTGCCCAAGGAAGGAATGGAAAGGGCACACTCACGGCCCTGCTCAGCCTCTAGGCCGAGGGCCCCCAAGAGCCCAGAAGTCTGAGAAGTTCAAGTAGGCACTCCCAGACATGAGAGGTACGGGCTGAGGGGAGAGACTACTGGACCCCTTAGGGGTCCTAGGACATCTCGGAGAGCAGGACAAAACAGGAGGAGAAAACCCTAAGGGGCCAAGCCCAGGCAGAACTTAGGGATGGGAGTGAGAACACAGAACCCTCCCAGGGAGGCCCCACTCATGGAACCATCCCATATTGGGGCTAAGATGGGTTGGGGGGCCGGTGGCCTCACCTTCTCCAGGAGCGGCTTGACACAGTGCAGCGTGTCCTGGATGTACTGGTTCAGCTCCGGGTGGCAGGACATCTGCACACGATGCCGCGGTGGCTGGTGAGGCCCGCAGCACCAGTGGGGAACACCCACCATCCCTTCCAGGAGCCCAGGCCTGTCTGTTTGGAGAGGCCCAGCAGTTCCCTGGAGCTTCCCACCAAAGAGACCAACCTCGCATCATGGAGCTAAGAACTCTGAATTAGCCACAGAAGCAGATGAGTTAGAGGATAAGAATTTAGTCTCAACATTGGCACTCAGCATTAGAGTTTGCTAATGTAGGGTCCTTTGGCTCCTCCAGAGTCTGAAAAAATCCTAAATTGTATGTATTTGGGTATATGGGCATTTTTTCCACAGAAGGGATCCAGAAATGGAATCAGTTTTCAAAAGTTTAGAATCTGGAACTAAGGAGCTGTATGGCCTCAGCCAAATTACTTCTCTGAGCTTTAATAAACTTTACCCATGAAGATCTCAAAGAAAAAGTGAGAATTAAATAAGAGAGTATCTAGTCGGTACTCAGTAAGTGCTGTTCTCTTTTCCTTTCCCTCTACACCCTTTAAGCTTCCACAACCTTCCAGTATTCAGTCATTCATTCCAATGTTTACTGAGTATCTTCCAAGGGGCAGGCACTTCTAGAGACCAGGAGTAGAGTAGCTTAACGCTTTGTCTCCCTTTTAACCTGCAATTAGGGAAAGTGAGGGCAGGAAGCAAGTGCCTGAGGTTTACAGGAGTCCTGTTCCCAAACCAACCGTTGACCTTCTGCTTCAAGAACCCTCAAAGTATAATCATGCCCCAAGGCAACTCGAACCTGAAGGCCTGGTCCCTAACTTCTGGAGGGGCTGGAAGGAGCTGAACCACTGCAAAGAGGGGTGGGAGTGGCTACCAGTAGCTGCAAGAACCTGGGAGGCAAGACCCCCGGTGCTGCAGAAAGGGGGTTGGGCCTGAAACTGGAACATAATTTTAAAATCCTCTCTCTACCCACTCTATGATTGGAATGTGACCCAGTGGCTCCAAGCCAGCAGTGGGGGACTCACCTGGACAGGCACGTTGTACTTCTTTCGCTTCTGGAAAATGCCCACCGGGTAGACCTCCCGCACGTAGAGGATTAGGTGCACAGCCACCTCCAAGAACTCGCAGAGCACGTCAGCCACCACTGCGAGGGGGCAGAACCCGGTATGTTCTGGGAAGCCCGCCGGCCCAGGTCCTCCCTCGCCCCCAGGTAGGCAGGTCCAGCATCCCTACCTTGGCCAAAGTTGAGGTCCTGTCGCGTGAGCGTAGTCATTTTTCCCGCCTCCTAGGGGTGGGACAGAAGGGGGGGGGTTGTTCCAAAGGTCCAGTCAGCCACAGGGCCCGCCAGCCTCAACAGCTCCTCCCCTCCGCCCGCGGGGAATGGGGCAGGACTCCCCAGAACACAGAATCAGGGCAGCTGCGAATGACCCCCCTACACTGGCGTCACAACTCTGGGCATCAGCTGCCCCTGGGTCAGCCTGCTTTCATTGGCACTTCACCAAATGTCTCGTGGCAGGTGGTAGAAAAGGCCAGAGCTGTGCGGGCAAAAAGGACCGCAGAGGTAACCGCAGGATGCTTAGGGCGGGGAGCAGAAAGCTGGACACGCGGGAGGAGAAACTCCGCTAGAATAAGGCTCCACCCTCTCCATGGCCCGACCCCTTCCCGAAGGGAATCCCGCCCCTCTCCCCTCCCCTGGTACCGGCTCTGGCCTTGGTTGCCTGCAGGAGGCCCGGCCCCCGCACAGGGAACCACGGATTCAGCCACTTGCACCTCCAGCTCAATCCGCGCGGCCCGGGCGCCGCTTCGTGACGTCCGTAGCGCCGCGGCGGGTCTTAGAGCGCGCTTCGAGCCACGCCCACTCCCCCCCCCGCGGCCGGAGCGGGGGCGGAAGAGGCGGGGCCAGCCTTGGGGCTGGAGAGCCCCCGGGCCCGAATCGGATAATATTGCGCTAGCCACCAGGTTTCAATTTTGAGTGTGCGAGATA